GAATATTATTGGCGCGTCTATCCTGTGGACTCCCGCCAGAAATATTTTTTGGTATTTAATATTTATTTTTTTCAGAAATAATATTCGGACCGAAATCGGTCCGAATATTATTGGCGCGTCTATACTGTTGACTCCTGCCAGAAATATTTTTTGGTATTTAATATTTATTTTTTTCAGAAATCATATTCGGACCGAAAACGGTCTGCATATTATTGGCGCGTCTATACTGTGACGCCCGCCAGAAATATACGGATCGATATTGGTCCGAATATGTTCATTATTATATTCAGACCGATATTGGTTCGAATATTTAGTTTTTTGGACCGACACTGTTCGGTCCGTATATGGTCGGTCCGTATACGTCCTTTTTCTAGTAGTGAACTCAACTTCAAAACTTCAATTTTAAGTCTTCAAGTGCAAAACCTTGGAAGTTTCTCTTTTCTCTTACTTTTATTTTACATTGAGGACAATGTTTGATATAAGTTTGGGGGAGAGATACACTTTTAGGCATCCATTCTTAAATTAGTTGCATTCATATTTGCATGATATACATTTTTTTTTTTTAGAAATTAGGGTTTTTTTTTTAGGAATTGATCCAATTAGTGTCAAGGAATTGCATATTCTTGAGTTAGAGCTTTTAAAATCTTTTAATCTTAGAGAAGATACAAATATGAAAAATAACACCATTATGATGAAGTTTAAGTTCATGAGCATTATATTCTATTTAAGCACAAGTTTGTAGCATCAGAAAAAAAAACAGAAAAAAAAACAGAAAAAAAAAAAAGAAAGCCAACACACAAAAGAGTTTATTAATTTCTACTCCAGTGTTTCTAGTTGCTTAGTAACTGGGGGTTAGGCATGAAACCCATGTCAATTTTCACATCAAACGGTGACTTGAAATATGAGTATGCAAAGCACTTTGAGTTTATGACTTGTTGAGTAACCGAGTGCTTTCATTACAAATGTTAGTATTCGCGTCAGAAAACAAGTGATAACTTAGGGAAGAATGTGTTGTATGGCTGGAAAAAAAAAAAAAAGAAAAAAAAGAGAAGTTGAATGTTTCGTGGCCTTTGTTACTTGAGTAAGTATGTTCTTAGGGGTGTCTCTTCACCTAATGCCCTAAAGCCAACTGGTTTGGGAGTCATTGACAAAAAGCTCGTTACATGGGTAACTTAGAAAGCCTAA